TTTTTCGTAAACTATTTTTCTGCTTCTGTAATCGATTTTTCTTAAAATGGAATATTCTTTTATGAACGAGTTTCAATTGGTCTCTATTCAATTGTTCTACTTCGAAATCGAAATTTCTGCTTCTGCTATAGATTTGCTTCTGCAATATATCTGCTTCAAAAATCGATTTGCTTCTGTTAATTTGTTTATGTTAATAACACTACCTCAAACTCCTATTAGAGACTACTCCAGCGCATATTATGCCAAATTCTTGTGATCTTTCTAACGTGGAAACATTACAACTGTTAATGACATATTGTTAATTTTATTATAATTTTTACTTGAATTTATTATTATTTATACTTAATAAAATATCAAATAAAGAGTTTTTTTTTTTTTTTTTGCATTATTCCATTCCAATTCCTTTGTAAATCAAATTGACAAATTTCATTCCATTTTCTGCTAACCAAACACTTAGTTGATTTATGATAACATTTCATTTCAATTTCTTCCGAATTTCAATTCCTTTAACAAATTTTACTATTTCAAAAAATATTTTGCGAATCAAACACCCCCTTAAATTCTCATTAGTATAAAAAATTAAAAAAATATTTTCTTTTTTATAAGTAATTGTTTTTAGAGGTTTTCCAAATTTGAAGAATTTCACCATCTCTCTATACTTTCTCCATTTTGGAGAAAGTTTGGGGAATCTATTACTGTTAGAATAAAAATCCCCAAAATCTCTTCATTTTGGAGAATACGTTGAAGATTCTCTTATAAAACTGCTTGATGTTTGTTTTGCCCAATTCTACCGTTGTAGAAATCTTTCTAAAAGTTTTTTGGTTGATTTCAAAAGAATTTTTGATTAATTTTGAGAGACTTTTTCGGGTGTTTAGTTGGTCTTGATAGATTTTTTGGTTGATTTTAATGAAGTTTTAGGGGACGTTTGGTTCGCAGAATGATTTCTGAATGAATGAAATTCGTCAAAGGAATTGGAATCTGGAAGGAATTGGAATGAAATGTTATCAGGTTTGAACAAGTATTTGGTTGACATAAATGGAATTTAATCTGTCTAATGAATTGGAATCTGTCTGTTTGATTTACAACATAATTGAAATGGATGCATAAGACCTCGTTGGAGTCTTTATAGGTCTGGTTTTTTATTTATTTAAAATAGATAATAGAAGTTTTATTTTTTCTATAATAATGAATTGTTAAAACACTAGCCTATTTGATTCAGAAATGTTTATTTATCCAAACATAATGTTGGGTTTAATATTTAATATAATTTAAAAGAATAAATCGATAATTAACCACTTAAAAACAACGCAAACTCATATATGTTTGAGATTGCTTATTTAAAACAACTTATTTTTTTTTTTTTATAAAAATGCGTTATCAATTTATGTGGTATCAAACTAGAATTTTATAAAAAGTGTTTGGATTAGCAAAACGTAATAAGTTGATAAGTTGTTTTTTAATGTCTGAATTTTTTTGTTTATACATGTAAAATGATCAAAAAAGACATTCTTCCATATGTACTCATACTATCCAGCTTATGCAAGAAGACACAATTCTTACAAGCAACTTTAACACGTCAATGTATCCAGTTATGGTGTGATCATACTAAATAGTTATTTTGAGAAATTTGCTTGTAAAACTGTGTTTTCACCTTTCACACACGCCCATTGACTGAACGAATCTATTAGGGTTCCTAATCTACCATCCGATTCCTTAAAAGATAAAATAGTCGGAGGTTTACACGGTGGTTCTTCCCTAGTACAATCGATTTCACTGTCAAGTACTTGGGAAAACAATTACAAGCAATTATGAGAAGAAATCACAACAAGACATTGATTTATGCAGGAAAACAAATGTGTAGGAGAAATCACAGCAGGAGATTGCTTATGTGAGGAAGAAGGTCGATTTGATGGTGGAAGGAGAAGTCGATCTTCGATTTCTGTAGGAGGAATTGGTTGATTTGATTTTTGTAAGAGGAAGAAGGTCGATTTTCTGTTTGATGAACTGGTCGATTCGTGAGGAAGGAGGCGTGAATCTGATGAGAAGTTTCTAAGTTCAGGGTTAAAGAAAAGGGTAAAAAGTAATTTGGTTTTCAAAGCCGATAAGTTGTTTATGATAAGTTAGAAGAGAGTAACTTATCAACAACTCCTTATTACTGATCCAAACCAGTATAAGCATCATTTTTTCCCCATGTAAACACTGAAAACTACTTATTACCGATCCCACATCAGAATAAGTCAATATACACTTTAAATAAGCAACCATATACCCCTTACTATATTAAATAAATATAGGAATATTGATAGGCAAGAGCATGAGCATGAGTATTCCCAACATTTTGTTTTTCAAAATAATAATAAAAATATTATATTCAACTTTTAGGAGTTGTTTTATTTTGTCCTGAGGATTTTAAAATCAAGTTTATAAAACATTTAATGAATTTAATGCTTTAATAAATTTTTGAACAATTTTTTATTTGATAAATACATTAAATAATCAATATTATATATTTTTAAACTTTAGGGTAAAAGATATTTCATTATTATATAGATGTTTTATATATGTATTTCTAAATCTCACTGCCCAAAATTATAACAAAACAATCCACATTTTGTTTATGTTATTTTTTATTCTATTTTTATAAAACTTAAATTATTTTAAAGGAGTCTACGATTTAAAACACAAAATATTAGATGACATTTGGTTCACATAATAAAATATATCAGAATTGGAACATGTCAAATGAATTGAGACGAAGTTTAACCATGTTTGACTATGCGTTTGGTTGATATGAATTGAAATGAAATTTGTCAAAAGAATTTGAATATTATATGAATATAATACCAGTGTTATGTGGAAGCGGTAATGGTGGTAAGAAATTAAGGATGTGGTGGTTTGACATGTTCGTAAGAGACACTTAGGGGCCATTTACCAAACACTTACCCATGTAAGCATCTAGCGGTAAAATTCAATACTATCATTTACTTACTGGGTAAGATTTTAGTCAACAAAAAACGGCATTCTATGCAACGAATTACCTGGTAAGAGCTGACCGTGGTAAGAGTCATTGCCCTCACTTACCGGGTAAGACTCTAGGTCATTGTCTCGCTCTTATCGAGTAAGATTCATGGTCATCTCCATGTTCATCCGATAAGTTAATGTAACTTGGTAAGCGCTTACCAAGTAAGCATTTGTAAACGGTCCCTTAACAGCTCTAGTGAGGAGGGTAGAAACTGTAATGGTTGAGGGATGATGAGTGGGGGCAAACTAAAGAGGATGTGGGATTGTGGGGCAAAAAATTAAGGATTTATAGTGGAAGTCTTGGAAACATTTCAACATGACATGTGATATGAGTTTGTGAAACACAAAATTACAGGAACACATAGTGTATAATATAAGATGTAGCTAGGCTAAGCAGGAGGAAGGGTGCTCAAGTCGTCATCAATAGCGGGTGGGGAAGCATAGAGTAGGGGTTGGTTTGTCGTTTTTTGTCGGGTAATTTAATTTATTTTGTACCTATCTATTTTTTTTTTGTTCATTAGGTGCAACTTTCTCCTTTCTAGTGGTTTTGTAGCTCAGTATGTTTTTAGCAGTGTTCTAAAAGGTTCGTCATGGTTGTAGCAGTGGTACGTCATGACTCAAGGCTCATGTTTGTCTTAGCCAAATGCATGGTTTTCTATACGGAAAGAACCTTTTTACTATCTGGGAATAAGGACAAGACTCACATATATTATACCCCTCTTAAACCACGCTTCAAAGAGGGATATAGTGGGTCGTGTGGGTTTGATGTTTTCAGTATTAGGACTTAAAATCTCAAATATAAGAACTCTGATAATATTTCTAACAGTTTTTTGTACTTTCTCCAAAATAAAGAGACGAAAATACAATCTAAAAAGGTTACATTTAACTCCGACAATTTTTCTTTATTTTAAACATTTTAACATTAATTATTTTATCAAAAAATTAATTTTCTATTTCATTGGTTTAATTTCATTGAACACTAAAAATCTGTTTTTGAAAAAAACTTACAAAAAGTCATTCTCTTTCCTTCTTTATTTGACTTTGGACAAATGTATACATATTTTTAGAATCTATTTTTCATTTTTCTTCATTTTGAAAAAATGTTAAAGAAAAAAACAGAATTTTTAAATACCCACCACTTAATTTTTATAGCAGTGTTGAAGATCTCTCCATGTAAATGTAAAGAAAAAAAATATATATATATATAACCATAACGGTGATATCTGATTGATTTGAGTTTGAGCTCTAAAATCAAAGGGGATGATATCCCCACCCCTCTACATCATTTTTCACCCCCTCCTCCTCACACCAACCCTCACTCTCACAACTTTTCCTCACTCTCACCCTCACATAGTCACCCCTTACACAATCTCACCCCCCCCCCCTCACATGCACCCATAGGAGGGGTGGGGTTAGAAAAACCCAAAATCAAAAGTGTATGAAGGTCTTATGTTCAAATCTAAGAAGTAATAAAAATTCTCTTGTAGCTATGGAAGTTTAAATGCGGTGACTCCGGAGTACCCACAAAACAGATGGTTACCCTGAGATTAGTCGGTTCATACAGCAAGTTGGATATCCAGGTTAATAAAAAAAATATTGTTATACATGTATTTATGTTAAAATCATGTTAAGTTATTAGTTAAAAGTATAAAAAGTAAGTTTTAATGTTGATATATATATATATATATATATATATATAATTAATATATAAAAATACATTTAAAATATACACGAATACAATTAATCCAAGGTTAAAACTTAACAGAACACAATTTGGGCAAGCACCCATTTTATACCGACGTGAAATTCAAAAGAGAGAATAATTTTTTTTACAGAAGTTCCAAAACCCCTAAACCCTACTGTGAATTTGATCTCTCACTCTCTCTCTCTCTCTCCTCTCTCTCTCTCCTCTCTCTCTCTCTCTCTCTCTCCTCTCTCTCTCTCATACCACCACCACCACCAAATCCAGCTATATAGCCAAAGAGAGTAGTACACTGAGAAAAGCCTGTTGCTTTTTTGTTTTCTTTGATCAATCTTCTGCTATCCATCCATCCATCCATCTATCTATCAGCCTTTAATATCTGTGCTCTTGGGGTTCAAAGAAAGCTCGTTTAATTTCGTCAAACACAAGAACACAGAGAGAAAAAGAAAGAAAAGGGTTTCCTGTGGAGCCCTATTCATTTCCCCTTTGCACTTTGCTGTAGTCTTCCCTTCTTTCTCACTATCTATCCCCCTTCTACAGTCAGATACAAAACACACACCCACATATACTTGCACATTATATATATATATATATACACAGAGAGAGAAACACACTCACAGGCTATAGCAGTGGGAGTATAGTAGAAGTTAGTATAAAAAGAGAGAAAATATATAATGCAGCAGCACCTGATGCAGATGCAGCCCATGATGGCAGCCTATTATCCCACTAACAGCGTTACTACTGATCACATTCAACAGGTTTTATTACGAGTTTTCTTCCCTTGAAACAGTTTTCCTTTCACTTTCTCTCTCACACACAACACACACTCTCTCAATGAGTCCAGTTCCTGTGTGTCTTGTTGTTGGGGTTATGTGTTCAACTTCCTTTTCTGATCTTTTTGTCTTCCCTTTTCTTTTTGGCTTTTCCATGACTTTTTTTTTGCTTGTTTCTTCATCTGCAACAAGTTCCCTTCATACATACAACCCTCACCATCACTTATATTTGCTCACAAAAACCATGCTTTTACTTACATGTTTCTCTACTCTGTGTGTGTATATATATACATATATATATATATATATTCCTTTATCATGTTTCTGAGTTTAATTTTGTTCACTCACTTTGGTGATGAAGTTTTCTTGGACTTGTTAAACTGCAAATAGATAAAAATGAATCTTTTTAATGGTTCTCAAAGAAAATAATGGATGTAAAATGGAAATACTTGTGATAGAGAACATGATTTCATAGAAAAAAAATACAAAAAATGCAAATCCCATGTTATTTCTTGTTAATTTATTTGGGAATTTTTCTTTAAAGTATATTGGTTTAGGGAATAAATTATGTTACCCTCTTGGTAATCTGTGAGTCAAGATTCTGCATTAAACATTCTTTATTTTCACCAATATCTATGCTTGTGCATGCTACTAGATTAATATAGTCTAATAGTATTGGATGCCCTATTGATTTATATGTTGGCCTTCTGCTGTCCAGGTATCTTGCTAACTTTATCTCTAAATATCATTGGGAAAAATGTGATTATTATATCAGTATACACACACACACATATATATATATATATATGTATATATATGTATATATGTATGTATCTTTGTTCTGAGTGCATATTAAGATATCAGTGCAATATTAGATCAGCAAAACAAGATAGGATTCAAAGATCTTGTTGCTAGACCTAGTTTGACTTTTACATATTAGGGGATAGAATAGAATATATTGTATCCAGCTGTGTTGTACAAATCGGTCTTTCAGCTTCAGATGCTGATAAAAGCTTTAGGGCATCTGGGTTCCTGCTTTTTTTTTTTTTTGCGAATGAATGAAAAAGTAATAGGGTTTTGGTGCTATTCTTGTAAGAAATCTAGGTGATTAGATCGTCTTTGAGAATCTGCATTTGGTTTTCATTAGCGTCTATAGTTGTTCCAAGATGGTTTAAAGCAATAGGGTTTTGGCCCATTGACCATTTGAGGTCATTTAATGGAATTTCTGCATATTTACTGCAAAAATGCTGCCGGTGATGGGAGAGGAACGGCATATATGAGGTGATCCTGTTCAAACGATATATGCCATGTGGTCGGAGTCGAAAGCAATTTTTGGTTTAAATGTTAATGGCCCCACCAGTTTGGTGTTTTTTTGGCTAGGGTTGGAGATGGTCTAATGTATGTTTGTTAGCAGCTTAATATCGTGCTTAATGGGACTCGAAACTTATTTGGTTAGCGATATATTACTGTTTGGTGGTGACTTAATGATGTAGAAATGGCTCATCTAGTAAGCTTTTAGTAGAGAGCTTTATGCATAAAGCCAGATCTTTTTCTTTCTAAACCTATCACATCTGATTAGAAAACATATTCATTCCATGTATGAAAAAACCATTCCAAACAAGAATCTTCCATATCTATACAGACAGATTAATCAATAAGGTCAGCAAAATCCCCCAAACTATCACATAACTTGCCACTGTTTCCAAATATGGAAAACCATAGTGCTTGTGTTAAAAGTAAATGAACCCAATGTATCTTGCTCAAAAGCAAGTCAAGTGGGGATGTATGCAGATCTGTCCTACAATAGAAAAGAAATAAACGAGTTTGAGGATTATTTTGCACAAGGGAAAAAAATGATACGAAGTGATCACTGTTTCGAATTGACCGATAGGGGTTTCAAAGTATCACCCCCGACCCTTGGACGAGGGGGGGCCGGGGGTAATTTCACTGGTCCACATCTTGGTTAGGGAAAAAGTTTTCATCTTTTATTCAAGATTTTGAGCAAATAATTAATGCATACATGACCCCATTTCAGCAGTTGGCTTGTATGTCTCATCTTGAATAGGGCAAAAGGTTGTTTTTATTGAGTAATTGGACAAATAATCCAACATTGGGAATAAGAGTACATTCCCCCCAACTTGGCTAGGTTAAATGTTTCAGTTCTTTTCAAATCATGTAATTAATAATCACCCAAATGGGCGATAACGACACGTCCCCTCGAGTTTGAAAAAACCCGTGAAAACAAAAACAGTAATGATCTTGACCCGAGTTTGATGATAGTTTGATGATAGTCTAGAACTTACTAGAAGGCCAAATTACATGAAAATGCAACGTACTTTTTATGATTTCTATTTTGTGTAACCTAGTTTTAAAACCTTCTGTTTTATGTGCAGTACCTTGATGAGAACAAATCTCTGATTCTGAAAATAGTGGAGAGTCAAAACACGGGGAAAATAACCGAATGTGCAGAGTGAGTGTTTCCAGTTCTTTTCCGTATTCGTTTGCATCAACGAGTCTTCAGAAGTTCGTATTTTTCATACCCGTTGTACTTCGAATATAAGCGAGTTGTTTTAAATCGTTGTATTGTGGCAGAAATCAGGCGAAGCTTCAGAGGAACCTTATGTACCTTGCTGCTATTGCTGATTCTCAACCGCAGGCACCTGCAACTCATTCTCAGGTACGAATCTTCACATCGTACGCCGATTATAGACCCTGATCGATGATCGAATCTTCATAACGGGCTTTTTAGGACGCCTAGCTGTCATTTGGCGACTTAATAAAGTACTTAAATAGGACTTGTAGATTATAAAAATATTAACTTTTGCGTCATATTTGCCTTTTTTTATAGGACACTTTACAATAGTGTTTCGTAGAAGACTAATAAGACGATTTATTTCTTGTTTATTACTTTTTATTTCTATTTTAGTTTGTCCTAAAATAAGTGTCCACTTATAAAACAATAAGTGCCTACTTTCTAATTCTACTTTAGCACTTCTTTGGTTGGAGATGGTCTTATGCTTGGAAGTTTAACTTGTGTACCATTAAAATGCAGTACCAGCTCGGTGGGATGATGCAGCCGGGTGGTCATTACATGCAGCAACACCAACAAGTTCAACAAATGTCGCCACAAGCACTTATGGCTGCACGTTCATCCATGCTCTACAGCCAGCAGCAGTACTCCTCGTTACAGCAGCAGGCCGCCATGCACAGCCAGCTAGGGATGAACTCTGGTAGCGGTGGTGGAAGCAGCGGACTTCACATGTTACAAAGCGACAGCACCAGTGCCGCTGGCGCCAGTGGTGTTGGACACCTAGGCATAGGAGGGTTTCCTGACTTTGCCCGTAAGCAAGATATCGGACTCTCGGGGTCTACTGCCGAAGAACGTGGTGGTGGCGATGGTGGCGGCGAGACGCATTACCTGAAATCTGCTGATGAAGGTAACTGATGTTTTACATGGTGTTTTAGAGCATATTATATGAAAGTCTCTTAGATTTTAGTTTCAGAAGTAGGCGATGATGATCAGAAGAGTAGAGATCTGGAAAAATAACTTGTTGAACAGCTTATAAATGGATTTCAGTGTCGGTAATCGCTTGAAACTCGATCTTGGTGTTTTTATGTTGCTGGATTATGAATCGCAGTCGTGTTTTTGTAAATTTGTAGGTTTCGGTGTTCATATTTTTTTGGTCTGTCTTTGTTTTCGAGGATGGTCTTAGAGTCGTTGCAAAAATGTTAATCGGAGGCCGATTTAAACCCACATATTTTATCGACACATCTTTTTATAGAACACTTGTTTTTATAAGACGTTTTTTCAGATGGAGTCGTAAAAAAGCTAATATTTATTTTAAAAATCGTCTTCAAGAACTTGTTACACACCCCAAAAACTATATATCAACTTGCTGTAATATATTTGCATATGATACAGATTATTTGGTCGTATAAAACTATGTCAACTTAATGTGATATATTTGCAGATGACACAAACTATTTGGTCTTATGAATTTAAATTCTACGTAAAATAATCTAGGGTATGTTTGCTAGTAGCTTAATGAGACTCCCAACTTATTCAGTCATCTATGCATGATTGTTTGGTAGTGGCTTAATGATATAAAAAATTGATATACTCGGTAAGCTTTATGCGGACAATCAAGTTTTTTTTTCTTTCTTTCCAAATATGTCTCTTCCAATTAAAAAACACGTTCATTCCATATATGAAAAACTCTTCCAAACAAAAGCATACTCAATCTATACAGATAGATTAATCTATACAAACAACTTTATCCATACAAGATCTAATAGAAAACCAACCAAATAACCTAACTCTATCCATAGAAGATCTAATCGAGAACCAACCAAATAATCCATGAGATGATGTTTAGATACTTTTTGCGTCCTATTAAAGTTGTTTTTGTTGTAATGTGTGCATACAAGCATGGTCGAAAAAAACCAATATGTCAAATCACACCTTCTAATGACTATGTCTGTCCGCAATCTCTTTCCATGACCAACTATAAATTTCGGTTTGTGGGTCCGTCAGTCTTGAAGGTTTGTAACCCGAGCTAGAGGCTCGGGAACCGTGTTCCCCCGTGGTAGCGGCAGGGGTGGTGGTGAAGATTTCTTGGTTTGGTGTTTGGCCAGTGAAATGTTGTACAATTTGCTTAAACTGGGAAGGATCTTTTGCTTCCACCATAACCGGGCTCGAGATGTGCTTCACCTTGATACCTTTCTCTTCGCCTTTTGCTGTCATAGCACCACCGCCGCCGCCGCTGCTTCTGCCCGTCTCCATGGTCTTGTGGCCCGCAGTTTATATGGATAATATGGGTGCAAGTGAACATGTGTTTTGAATGTAAATATAGAGGGGGGCAGTTTTGACTTTTGACAAAGTCTTTGACGGGACAAAAAAGTAATTCCAAACATGATTAATGCTTTGTTGGTGCAAAGTTAGTAGAATATTAACTTAGCAGCCTACTTTCGATGTTGATACATTCATTGAACCATAGAAAAAGAATTCGACCCGTGGGTGATTTCGGTTTAGTTTACAAATTAATGTACTAATTGCGTTTTGTTTGATTTGGGTCAAAGAAAATTCAAATCGGAAATCAAAAACGATGTCTCGTTTGAGTTGTTTCCACGCACGTGGTTGGTCGTTTTGACGGTTGTTAAGCTTGCGTAGAGCATCTACGACTGCCTTGAAATTGGTGTGAAATGAAAATTTGTAAGAACCTTTATTGAAGAAGCTCTGAAAATTTGGAATTAAGAAATTGTTTGGCAAACATAAGCTAGCTTATATTTTGAGTACATATTTGAATGAACATAAGTTAGTTGGAGTAGTTTATTAAGAGCTTATTATAGTTTTTTTCCAGTTATAATCTTGATTAATATTAATTGTGTTTATTATTATAGTAATTAATAAATATTAA